GCAGCAGCAGCAGCAGCAGCAGCAGCAGCAGCAGCAGCAACAGTAGCAGCAGCAACAGCAGCAGCAACAGGATGCGTAGCAGCGACGATGGCGGCAGCAGCAGCATTTGTAGCAGCACAAAGGGTGAAACAAAAACAGCAGCAGCAACAGCAGCAGCAGCAGCAGAAGCTGCCGTTGTAGTAGCAGTATCTCCAGCAGCAAGAGCAGCAGCAGCACTTGCAGCAGCGGCAGCAGCAGCCACAACCACTGCAGCTCTTGGCTCCATGATACCTAGGGTTTAGGGTTTAGGGTTTAGGGTTTAGGGTTTACCAGCAAAACCCTCAGGCATCAGCTGAAACAGCCGCTCGCGGGAGAACAAACGAAAGCGCCCCACATCCTCAACCCCAACTGCAGCAGCAGCAGCAGCAGCAGCAATAGCAGAAGCAGCAGCAATAGCAGCAACAGCAAGAGCAGGCATCATATCAGCGCCTGCTGCACTGATATATCTTGCATAGGGGCAGCAGCAGCAGCAGCAGCTGCTGCTGCTGCTGCGGTAGCAGCAATAACAGCAGCAGGAATGGCAGAAGCGGCAGCAGCAACAGCAGCAGCAGCAGCATATGCTGCAGCAGCAACACGACTGACCTCCAACATGTCCCTTGCTCATATCCGAGCGGATCCCCTCGTCGGCTGCTGCTGCTGCTGCTGCTGCTTCCCAATCTGCTGCTGCATTTGTTGGTGCTGCTTCTGCTGCTTCTGCTGCTTCTGCAGCAGCAGCAGCAGCAGCAGCTTCTTGATCGATGCTGCAGTGACGAAGCAAAGGGATTCGTTGCCCTCCAGGATCAATGAAGAGAAAAGGCATCTTAACTTTGCCTGCTTCTGCTGCTGCTGCTGCTTCTGCTGCTGCTGCTGCTGTTGCTGCTGCTCCTGGAGAGAAAAATGGCATGCAGCTGTCAGGGTCTTCTGATGCTGCTGCTGCTGCTGCTAAATGCTCTGCTGCTGCTGCTGCAGCAAGGGGTTCTTGCAATATCCTCCTACCCTCACCATTTGCTGCTGTACGTGTGGGGTGTCTAGGCAGGTCAAAGGAAGCAAAACCCCGACTGCTGCTGCTGCTGCTGATTCTCTTGCTGCTTATTCTGCTGCTGCTGAGCGTGACGCTGGTGCTGCTTAGCCTGCTGTTGCTGCTGCTGCTGCTGCTGCTGCTGCTACTGCTGAATCTGGTGCTGCGACTGCTGCTGCTGCTGCTGCTGTTGCTTCTAGGAAGCTGATGATCGACACGCAGAGGTCTTAGGGCCCTCGAATATGCAGCTACCCCTAGGGGCGTGCAAGCGCTTCTGCTGCTGCTGCTGCTGCAGCTGCAGCAACAGCAGCAGCATCTGCTGCTGCTGCTGCTATCCAGGGAGGCCCTGATGAGCCTTGTTGCTGCTGAAGCACTTCGCTGCAGCATTTTATTGCGGGGGTGTCGCAGCAATTGGCGTCTTCTTCGCTAAGGGCACTCTATCGATGCTGCTGCTGCTGCTGCTGTTGCTGCTGCTGCTGCTGCAGCTTGTTGTGCAGCTGGTGTCGCTGCTGCTGCTCTTGCTGCTGCTATAATCGGTATTCGTTCGCATGTGCTGCTGTTGCTGCTGCTGTTGCTGCTGCTCCTGCTGTGTCTCTGTGGGGCCCGCTAGCTGCAGTCGGCAGCGCAAGGCAGCTGCGGTGTATATGCAGCTGCAGCAGCAGATAAAGTCGCGCTTATAAGCAGGAATAATTATTCATCTCCTTGTTATTTTGCTGCTGTTGTTTGCTGCTGTTGTTGCTGCTGCTTCTATTTAACGGATCGTTTGCCTAACAGCAGCAAGACTACCAACAGCAGCAGCAACAGCAGCAGCAGCAACAACAGCAGCAGCAGCAGCAGCAGCAGCAGCCCCGAGAGGGGCCCCAAGGGGAGGGCCTCGTGTGGGGCGGTGAGGCAGCAGAAGGCGGACAGCGCTGCTTTTATTTGTTATTTTGTTTGTCTTATTATTTTTGTTTGCTTCATTTTAACTTATCTTAACGCAGTAGCTACTGTAGTTCCCTTGGCTGCTGCTGCTGCTGCTGCTGCTGCTGCCGGCGAAGCTCCCTGCTGCTCCTGCTCCTGCTGCTCCTGCTCCTGCTGCTGCGGCTCCTGCCTCTCCTGCAGCAGCAAAGTTGAGGGGTTTAAACCCTAGTCCTTGACGCTGCCGATGTCTTGCGGTGTCCACTGCAGCAGCAGCAGCAGCAGCAACAGCAGTCACTGCACCAGCAGCAGCAACAACAGCAGCAGCAGCAACTGCAGCAGCAACAACTGCAGCAGCAGCAGCAGCAGAACCAACTGTAGCAGCTTTAAATGGAAGGTTAAGCCTGTCCCTGGCCGTGATTTGCCGGCAAAGACAAGTCGCAGCAGCAGCAGCTGCAGCAGCAGGAGCAGCAGCAGCAGCAGCAGCAGCAGCAGTTTGTTAATTTTTTCTTTTCTTTGAAGCAGCTGCTCGCTGCTGCATTTGATCTGCAGCTGGGCATTGAGCACGCTGCTGCTGCTGCTTCGCAGCTGCTGCACTTAGGATATCACGTCGGTATGGTGCTGCCTCTACTCGCCATATACGGGTATGCTGCTGTTGCTGCTGCTGCTGCTGTTGCTGCTGCTGCTGCCGCTGCTGCTGTTGTTGTTGCTGCTGCTGTCGTTGGTGCTGCTGCTGCTGTCGTTGCTGTTGTTCTGGCTGCTACCTGCTGTTGGTGTTGTCCGCGCTTGCTGCTCTTGCTGCTGCTGCTGCTGCTGCTGCTGCTGCAATGTAAAAGGAGAGTTTAGGGTTTAGGGTTTAGGGTTTAGGGTTTGTTTGTATTTGATGCAGACGGTTAGCTGCTCTGGGTTTGTCTCTTTCTGTCGGCATAGAGCAGCTGCTGCAGCAGCATGCGGAGCTGCTGCAGCAGCCGTTGCTGCGGCAGCTATTCCAGCCTCAGCTTCCTGCTGCAGCAGCAGAAGCAGCAGCAGCAACAAAAGCTGTTGCTGCTATGGCGCTTGCTGTATCACGTGGGGCCAACTCAAGTCGTTCTCCAGGTGTACGTACACCTGAAAGTGCTGCAGCAGCAGCAGCAGCAGCAGACGCAGGTGCTGCTGCTGTGCTGCTGCAGTGGTCAGAATCCTGTAGGGCTGCATGCGAAGGCGCAGCAGCAGCAGCAGCAGCAGCAAAGACGCCGAAAGGTGCTGCCGGTCCAGCAGCAGCAGCAGCAGCAGCAGCAGTCGCAGCAGCAGCAAGGCAGCAGAAGCACACGGAAGCAGCAGGAGGCTCACAGCGAGGAGTTCTCAGCAGCAGCAGCAGCAGCAGCAGGACGCTGCCGAAGCAATTTGTTGAATTTGCTGTCTCCTCTGGGCCTCGCGCCGTTACTCGCAGCATAACAGAAGAAGCTGTAGCACGCGAATGGGCAGCAGCAGCAGCAGCAGCAGCAGCAGCAGCAGCAAAATCTGCTGGTTCTGCTGCAAGAGATGAAGTACATGATGACCCCCTCATCGATCCTGTCTATGCTTTTGAACCGGAGTCGGTTTGGAGCTCCCACAGCAGCAGCAGCAGCAGCAGCAGCGAGAGCAGCAGCAGCTCGCTGCACCATCTCGCTGCAGCAGCAAAAACCGCTCTTGAGGAAGCAGAAGAAGCAGCAGCAGCAGCAGCAGCAGCAGCAGCAGAAGATGAATGCTTCGGAGCCCCCACCACTCTTTGCGAAGATGACGAGGACCTCCAAACCGCCGACAGCGCAATATCGGATGAGACCTGCAGCTAGCTAGCTAGCTAGCTAGCTAGCAAGGTCTCTCTCCATCTCTCCCTTTGTCTCTGTCTCTTTCTTTCTGTAGCTAGCTAGCTAGCTAGCTACCCGGATGTCTCTCTAGCTAGCTAGCTAGCTAGCTAGCTCTCTCTCTCCCCCTCTTTCGCTTTCTAGCTAGCTAGCTAGCTAGCTAGAGATATTTGGTCAGCCAGGTGGGCCGGGCATTTGGACCTGGTTGGCGAAGCGTGTGCGCGCTGTTGTTTTACCCTCTAGCTAGCTAGCTATCTATCTAGCTAGCTGGCTAGCTAGCTAGCTAGCTTGCTAGCTGGCTGGCTAGCTAGCTAGCTGGAGGATTAGAAGTGTGGGGGGTCGGTGAAGACGCGGCGGCGCCCCTGCAGTGTACAGTTGGCCCCTAAAGGCGGCCCGTAGCTCTCTGTTGTATTCTTCTGGCTAGCTAGCTAGCTAGCTAGCTAAATAGAAAGACGGCCAGCTAGCTAGCTATTTTTATAGCTAGCTAGCTGAATCAGAAGACGGTTGGCTAGTTAGCTACATGCGTAGCCAGCTAGCTAGCTAGCTAGCTGGTGGCTAGTTAGCGATCTCGCTAGCTAACTAGCTAGCCAACTAGCAAATTAGGAAGGCAGCTAGCTAGCTAGCTATGTGAATAGCTAGCTAGCTAGCTAGCTAGCTAAATAGAAATACAGCTAGCGAAGAGCGCCGCTCTGTGAAGACAAGATATACTGCGGTGTACGTACAGCTCCTTAAGCAGCTGTCTTGAGGGGTTGAATTATGCTGCAGCTGAAGGTAAACTTTAGTGTGGGGCCAGAACAGAAACCTCCTTTTATATGATCAACTAGAACCCCTACACCGAGGGTTTAGGGTTTAGGGTTTAGGGTTTAGGGTTTGGGGCTAAACCCTTTTTTGGGGTTTGCGCTGTCCACTGCGCGTAGTCTGTTCGTCTTAGGGTTTACGGTTTTGCTAGTTAGCGATCTCGCTAGCTAACTAGCTAGCCAACTAGCAAATTAGGAAGGCAGCTAGCTAGCTAGCTATGTGAATAGCTAGCTAGCTAGCTAGCTAGCTAAATAGAAATACAGCTAGCGAAGAGCGCCGCTCTGTGAAGACAAGATATACTGCGGTGTACGTACAGCTCCTTAAGCAGCTGTCTTGAGGGGTTGAATTATGCTGCAGCTGAAGGTAAACTTTAGTGTGGGGCCAGAACAGAAACCTCCTTTTATATGATCAACTAGAACCCCTACACCGAGGGTTTAGGGTTTAGGGTTTAGGGTTTAGGGTTTGGGGCTAAACCCTTTTTTGGGGTTTGCGCTGTCCACTGCGCGTAGTCTGTTCGTCTTAGGGTTTACGGTTTAGCTTGCTGGTTGCAGTGGGGTTTAGGGTTTAGGGCTTAGGTTGCTAGTAACAGGGTTTAGGGTTTAGGGTTTAGGGTTTAGATTGGTTGTAATACAGCGTTAAGTTCCCAAGTTTCGGTTGCGTACAGTTGGTTGGTTATATTTCGAGGGTTTAGGGTTTAGGGTTTAGGGTTTAGGGTTTTCGGTAGGCATATTGCGTGTTTTCGTTTGTCTATATCTCTGCAGCATATCTTTTAGGGTTTTTGTTTGCGCCATCTGTAAGGGGGTTTTTCTCTCAAAGTCCTCTGCGTCAATATCCACAGAGATGCCCTCAGCCTCTTTACTGAATAATAAAGCTTTTGCCTGAATCACAAACCCTCAAACGAGGGTTTAGGGTTTAGGGTTTAGGGTTTAGGGTTTAGGGTTTGGGGGTCATTTAGAACCCGGAGCCGCGTCAAGCCGCTGTTGAGATTGTGCAGCAGAGAATGACTTCCTTTGTCTCAACATATAGGGTTTAGGGTTTAGGGTTTAGGGTTTAGGGTTTACTGCAGCAACAGCGTTCTTGCGGGAGGCAAGGTGTAGTTGAGGGTTTAGGGTTTAGGGTTTAGGGTTTAGGGTTTACTGCAGCAACGGCGTTTTCCCGGACGGCAAGGTGTAGAGGGGTTAGCCTGCATCCGCATTAAGGTGTATGCACGTATTCAAACCCTAAACCCTACCTAAACCCTAAACCCTAAACACTAGCTAGGACCCTAACCCTAGGCCCCCCCTCCCTTTCTCTCACGCAGTAGCCCCTCCTCATAAACCCTAAACCCTGATCTAGGATTAAAGGTTTAGGGTTTAAGTGTTGGCTTTTCTCACCATTAGGGTTTAGGGTTTAGGGTTTAGGGTTTAGGGTTTAGGGTTTAGGGTTTAGGGTTTACCCAGCACAGGTTCTAGCATTAACATCAGCATTATGCTTCAACAAGAAAATCACGCTTCCTCTTTGATTGCCAGCGCATGCAAAATGCAGCGGCGTTCTTCCTAACTTTGTGGGGTCGTCAACCCCCAGACCTACAGCAGCAGCAGCAGCAGCAGCAGCAGCAGCAGCAGCAGAAGCACAGCCGAGGGGATAGCAGGAGGAACAGCAGCAGCAGGAGAGGCAGTAGCAGCAGCAGCAGCAGCAACAGCAGCGGGGACGAAGAGAGAAATTATATAACAAAACTGCTGATGAGATGCACCGTCGGAGCAGCAGCAGCAGCAACAGCAACGGCAACAGCAACAGCAGCAGCAACAGCAACGGCAACAGCAACAGCAGCAGCAGCAACTGCAGCAGCAGCAGCAGCAACTGCAGCAACAGCAGCAGCAGAACATCCATCTTGACGGTGGTTTCTGGCCCGGATTGATGAGCCACCAGAGTAGTTTGAATGTTTAGGGTTTAGGGTTTAGGGTTTAGTGTTTAGGGTTTAGGGTTTAGGGTTTAGTGTTTAGTGTTCAGGGTTTAGTGTTTAGGGTTTAGGGTTTAGGGTTTAGTGTTTAGGGTTTAGGGTTTGAATTCCTGCCCGCTTGGAGTCCCAACTCTAGCAAATCAATTTCGCCGCTCATCGCACCTGAAGGCGCAAACCCTAAACCCTAAACCCTAAACCCTAAACCCTAAACCCTAACCCGCAACCCTAAGCCCTAAACCCTCAACCCTAAATAAACGCTAAGCCCAAAAGACAACCTAAACCCTAAACCCTAAGCCCTCAAGGCACAATTGCTGTCTACCAGTGATCCTTGCGCACGAACTAACCACTACATTTCAGGGTTTAGGGTTTAGGGTTTAGGGTTTAGGGTTTACCGTGGTGCATAACACTCAGGCCGCTTTGCGGGTCTTTTACGCTGTAATCCACATCGAAGGTCTGCAGGATTCTGCAGCGAAGGAAATCAAGGGTTTAGGGTTTAGGGTCTAGGGTTTGGCGTTTAGGGCTTAGGATAGGGTTTATGATTTAGGATAGGGTTTAGGGTTTAGTGTTTGGGTTTAGGGCTTATGGCTTTAGGGTTTACGGTTTTAGGGTTAAGGATTTAGGGTTTAGGGTTTGTGGTTTGGAGTTAACGGTAGGGTTTATGGTTTAGGGTAGGGCTTGGGGTTTAGGTTTTAGGGTTTAGGGTTTAGGGTTTTGTTAATGGTTTAGAGCAGCTTATCGGGGGCCAGCCTCAGGCTCCGCACGACTCCGCCCCCAAGCCCTAAACCCTAAACCCTAAACCCTGAGCGTGGATCTGAACCTTGTGCTCTACACCCTATTCGTAAAACCCTAACGCCTAGACCCTAAACCCTAAACCCTTAACCCTTAACTCTTAGCCCGAACGGAAGGGCCAGGCAGGCAGAAGACGGAGTCTGCTTGTATCCTGGTTTTGGTGTTTAGGGTTTAGGGTTTAGGGTTTAGGGTTTAGTTCTTGCCGGAGTTTGTTGATGTCTGGGTGCTCTTTCATAATTTCATTGAGGAGCTGCGCCGCACATGCTGTAAGCCGTAAACCCTAAACCCTAAACCCTAAACCCTAAACCCTACACCCTTGATGATAAACCAAATGGGCACGTGCGAAGCAGCAGCTGCTGCTCTTGTTGATGCTGCTGCTGCAGTTGCTGCTACTGCTGAAGTTGCAGTTGCTGCTGTTGCTGCTGCCGCTGCTGCCGCTGCTGTTTCTAATTGCTGCTGCGGTCATTGTGGGCTCTACCCTGGCAGCTGCAGCAGCAGGAGCAGTTACAGCTGCAGCAGCAGCAGGAGCAGGTGTAGCAGCAGCAGCGGCTGCAGCAGCAGAAGCAGCAGCAGCTGCAGCAGCAGCAAGAGCAGCTGCAGCAGAGAAGTGCAGGGACTCCGTTGCTGCAGGAGTTTACGTTTATGAACAGCAGCCAAAAGTGCCTGAATCCTAAACCCTAAACCCTAAACCACCAGCCCTAGACTGCAAATTCTAGACCCTAAACCCTAAACCCTAAAGAGTAGGCCGTCAGCCCTAAACTGTAAACCCTAAACCCTAAACCCTAAACCCTAAACCCTAAGCACTATGCGGCACGGCTTAACCCCTAGACTGTAAGTCCTAAACCCTAAACGTTAAGCCATAGGCCATAAACCCCTCGACTGTAAGCTCTAAACCCTAAACCCTAAACCCTAAACCCTAAACCCTAAACCCTAAACCCTAAACCCTAAACCCAGAAGTGCTTACTTCGAGCTGCATCCGTTTCTTGCTGCTGATGGTCGTACCCTTGCGACCTTCAGCAGATATTCCGCCAATTAAATTTTCTGCTGCGTTTTCTTCTGCAGCCATTTTGCAGTGTACAGACACCCTAGGGTTTAGGGTCTAGATTCGAGGGTTTAGGGTTTAGGGTTTAGCGTTTAGGGTTTAGGGTTTGAGGGTCTATAGGCGAGGGTTTGTGCTGGGTTAGCAAGAGATCAAGAAGGAAAAGACTTGAGGATAATTCAATAGCACATTGATTAGGGTTTAGGGTTTAGGGCTTAGGGTTTAGGGTTTAGGGTTTGGGGTTCTAGGAGCCTCAAACCCTAACTGCTCAGCCCCAATTTGGAGGGTACGAGAATAAAGAGCAATAATAAAACAAAATAAAATATTTTTTAATTATTTTAATTAGAGAGAGAGCAGAAAAATATAAAGTCGCGCACAGGTGACCCTCGACGGGCAAGGGTTTAGGGTTTAGGGTTTAGGGTTTAGGGTTTAGGGTTTAGCGCTCCAGGGCAAAATTCAAGAAATGAGTGCCTCTCTAGCGCGTATTCGTCGTATGATGCCCAATTAGGGTTTAGGGTTTAGGGTTTGGGGTTTAGGGTTTAGGGTTTACTAGTTAGGATGTAACACCTTCACCAACGATCACTCTCAGCAGCCAGCCCCACAGACCATCCAAACCCTAAACCCTAAACCCTAATCCCTAAACCCTAAACCCTAAGCCCTAAACCCTAAACCCTAGACACTAAACCCTAATTCCTAAACCCTAAATCGTAAACCGTGTACAGTATATTGTATTTCTCATGCCTGAAGTTAATAGACATTGCATCAAACCCTAATCTGCAAGCCCTGCCGCGCAGACCCTAAACCCTAAACCCTAAACCCTAAACCCTCGAAGATCTGATGTTTTCAAACGACCATCGTACTGGGCAATTTTGTTTGTCTTTGTTGTCTTATTATACAGGCAAATATATACAGCCAGCCTTCTACAATATAATAATAAATAAATAAATAAATAAATATATATATATATGTTTATATATATGCACATATATTTATGAATGAATGAATATGTATTCGTATATATGTATTATCATATATTCTTTATGTATACCTACACGCACCTACATATATATGTAATATATATATATAATATATATATATAATATATAAATATATATATATATATATATATATATCTGTTAACCGTATGTCTACATATATATTTATATATATTCATATTCATATATCTGACTCTAGATATATATATATATATATTATGTGTATAAACATATATATATATATATATATATATATAGGTGTAC